CCCACAAGGCAGAACGTGGGATAAGGCCGTTTTTATGTAAGGTGAACCTGAGTCCGTAGGCTTGTGCAAAAATTCCCCGTACACCCAGCATACACGGGGTGGGACTTGTCTACTTCCCAAGACGTGACTCTGTCCTTCGACATAGCTTCACCTGGGTTCCTCTCTGGCCGAAAGCAGAAAGTGCGACAAAGAGAGAACAGCAGATTCTTAGGGAAATACCACGCTATATATCTCAGTCTCTTCATTATCTATCTATCTATCTATGTGTCTTAATATCTATCTATCTATCTGCCATGTCCATACTTATCTATCTATCTATCTAAGTCTGCTCATATCTATCTAAGTCTCTTAATATATATATATATATATATATATATATATATATATATATATATCTATCTTAACATCTATCTATCTATCTATCTTAATATCTATCTATCTATCTATCTTAATATCTAGCTATTTATCTGCCCCGTTCGTACTTATCTATCTATCTATCCTCGTCCGTATCTATCTATCTATCTCAGTCTGTTCATTATCTATCTATTTATCTATCTATCTATCTATCATCATCTATCTATTGTATCATCTATCTGCCTATTTATATATACATCTATCTATCTATCTATCTATATCTATCTATCTATCTATCTGCCCCGTTCATACATTATCTATCTATCTATCTGCCCCGTTATACTATTATCTATCTATCTATCTATCTATCTATCTATCTATCTGCCCCGTTCGTACTTATCTATCTATCTATCTATCTATCTATCTATCTATCTATCTGCCCCGTTCGTACTTATCTATCTATCTATCTATCTATCTATCTATCTATCTATCTAGCCCCGTTCGTACTTATCTATCTATCTATCTATCTATCTATCTATTCATCTATCTATCTATTCATCTATTCTATCTATCTATCTATCTATTCATCTATCTATCTTATCTGTTCGTATCTTATCTATCTATCATTATCTATCTATTCATCTATCTATCTATCTATTGTATGTCATTTATCTATCTATCTATCTATCTATATATATATCTATGGGGATCTGTTCTGTTCATTATCTATCTATCTATCTATCTGCCCCGTCCGGACTTATCTATCTATCTATCATCGTTACTGGTGATGATTCAGGGTCCGATAGGTGATGATGGAATGTATCTAGTTTGTTTTTCAAAGCATTAAAATGTAAAAAAAAATTTTTTTTCTTCCATAGATCTGTTACAGTTAAATCAGAGGAAAGATCAGCTGCCAACCCATGTTGTTTCTATTTAAACCCATGTCAACGCAAGAATAAGCAACATATCTTTAGTATTTAGTAGAACCGGTTGCCTGGGATGTAACAATAAGAATAAGATCAATAAATCGACCATCATAAAGACTGAAAAAATAAAATTGACAAAGATTATTGTTTAAGGTTGACAAATGTCTTAATTTTTTTTTTTTTTTTTTTTTTTTTTTTTTTTACGAATTGGTCAAACCCAAACTCAAACAAAAACATTGTTTTCAATCGTTATGAGTCTACCGATTGAATAGAATTTTATTATAAACAATTGTCTTGTAAATTCTTTTTTTTTTAAAAAATTCTGAATATAAAAATAAAAAAAAAGTGTGCAAGACAATGAAGAAACACTACCTGCCAAAAAAAGTGAAATTTTGTTGAAATCGGTTGAAAATGTAGGAAATCTGATCCCATATATAAACGAAACACACACACACACACAAACAAATGGGTTTTATAATAAGTATAACTCGATATGAGTTGTCCCAGAGAGAAATTCTATATGCCCCCTTAATCGTGGAAAAAATTGATTTGATTGCAAAAACAATTGTGTTTTTCCAATTTTTGGCGCTTTCAGAACCACCGCAGGGTAATTTTACGTAGTCCTGTGAAGTTTTGCTGAAATCGGTTGAAAAATGTAGGAAATCCGATCCAATATATAAACGAACAGACACACACACACAAACACGCACACACAACCTGGGTTTTATAATAAGTATGATTTTTTGGAAAGAAAGTAGTTAAAAACAAACAAAAAAAGGATTATTTTTAATCCTGACGACAAACAAAATAAGCTTTCTGCTCATCTAAATCTTAATCTGTCGTATTCTTAATCTGTTCACAATGATTTTAGAAAAAAGAATGTGGCTTTGCAGAATCGACCAGACACCAGGTTCGATTTTCCAGATAAATAAATATTTGGCCTGATCGATACCCACAAAATAAAACCATGAGATGATTGTAGCACTCGGCAAATCGATGTTAACCTTCTGCTGTAAATGAGTGAGGCAAGGTGAAGCAAGGTGGGGGTAGTTGAGGTGGGGTGAACACTAACAGGTGTGTCTTTCTTTTTCATAGCGCTCGAGTGGTCTCTTGTCTCTCCATGTCTATCTGACATTTTGCTGCTAGAGATCTTATATAGAACAGGTCTTCTTTGTCCTGCCAGCTCAGTCTTGTGAAGTCCGCTCCACTCAGCTGAACCGCTTTGTCAGAGTCGTTTGACGTGATTCTTGTGAAGTCCGATCCAATCAGCTGAACTTCTTTGTCAGGGTCGTTTGGCATGATCCTTGTGAAGTCAGCTTCACTCAGCTGATAGTCATCAAGACAATAACTGTCGAAACAATTTCCATCCTCTGTCAAAACACTTCCCAGATAGTCAAATTGTTGTACTTGTTGGATTTTGGTCTTCTCTAAATTTGAAATTTGCATGATGACCCGTGAAGAGAAGATCTGTAAAGGAAGGCCATTAGAAACATGCTTTGAATGATTTATACATATATATATATATATATATATATATATATATATATATATATAAAAAAATTTTGATTTCTTGGGGAACATAGGGTCGCAACAACCTATGGAAACGGACGCGGTGAAAAGGCGATCATCTTCAGCTCGGCCCATGTCATGGCGCCTGCTTTAACCACTGCGTCAAAACTTCTGCGCCAATCTGTTTTGGTTATTTTTATTTTCGCTTCCCTTGTGGATTCCAGACAAGGACCTACCTGGTGACACTAGAAACAAAATTTGCGGATTGCGAATTTCGGTCCATCCATGAAGTTTCTAGAAAATTGATGTCAATCACTGTTTGGGGATTGTTTGTTCATGTCCCATTTATAAAAATGTCGATTTCTTCAAAAATTTTTTTAACTTTTTTAAATACTTTTTTGTATTCTTAATTACCATTCCTTGAACCAAAGTAAATTTTGTACTTTTCCTCCGCCACTCCTCAATTTCTTTTTTTTTTTTTTTTTTTTTATATTTTCCAGACTCGTTGTTTAACTAATTCCCCAAGGCCATGGACATTGATGGGGGGATTTAAATGGAGAGGTGACAATGGATAAAGCCTCGGTCAATAATTCAGTATTGTTTTTGTTTCTGATGAATTTCTCCTGTATCTTAATATTTGCTTAGCTTTTGAAAAGCATCTTTCACTATTCCAATGCATCTTCGGATTTTGGTATCACATTTGTTCCTCGGTTAAAAATGAAGGCCATTACAAACATGATTTTATTAACGTTCTTTGACTCAAAATAAATTTGCGGCTTATCCTCCGCCACCAATATTGATTTTTTTTTTTCAAAAATTCATTTTTATACTATTTTTTCGAGACCTTGGACATTGTTTAGAGTTAAAGCATTGAACTCTAGGATCTAATTTAGAGGTGACAATTGTTTTAAAGTTATTTCAAAACGGTCAACATCAAAGTGTGTTACTGTAAAGATGGCCTGATTTTAAAAAATTAAAAAAAAATAATGCCAAATCCAAAAGTTAGTCAAAATAACGATAGAAAAAAGCAGATGAATATCTGGAGAGAAAGAAAAGAATTTTGCAAGCAGTTTTGGATTCGCTAAGATTTCATTTCGCAACAAGGAATTTTTTTTTTCTTGAAATGACATTTTTTTTGTCGACCTGATTGAGGAAAAGAAAAAAAAAAAAAGAAAGATCAAAAATAAAAAAAACAAAACAAAAAAGGGCGGAAAACATCCGACGAAATATTTGCAAAAAGTTCATAAAAAATGGTTTTGTATTTGCATACAGAAGACTTCAACATTAAAAATTATCTAAGCCTTCAAAAATACAGAATGCAGATCAAATATTTGGTGGAGAGAGACAGACAGACACACACACACACACAAATTTCATAGAGAGAGAGAGAGAGACAGACAGACAGACAAAAGGACACAAAGAGAAGACAACAAACAGAGACAGAGAGACATTTTACAGAGAGAAAGTTTTTCAAAAAGATACAGAGAAAATCAAAGAGACATAGAGAGAGAGAGACAGGCAGGTAGAGAGAGAGAGAGAGACAGTTATTCAGAGAGAGATTAGAAGAGAGAGACAGGTACAGAGATTTTTTATGAAGAGAGACAGAGAGATTTAATTTTTCTATGTGTGAGAGAAACATTATAGAGGAGAGAGAAAAACAGAGGTGAGCGAGAGAGACAGGCACAGAAAGAGAAGTTAAAAAGCTAGAGAGAGAGAGACAGAGAGAGGTTGAGAGAGAGAGAGAGACAGGTATTCTCAGAGAGAAAATTGAGATAAACAGGTAGAGGAGAGAGACTGAATATAGATTAAGAAAGACAGGCATTTACATTAAGAGAGAGATAATAAATTACGTGAGAGAGAGACAGGTCAACATTTGAGATGAGAATTTTTTTTAAAGCAGTTTTAGAATAAATTGTTTTTTTTTTTGCAACAAGGGTAATCTTTTTGTGATAATAGGGGGTTTGTTATGGATGACCTGATTGAGAAAAAAAAAATAAACCAAACCATAAAGTAAAAGACAAACCAAAAACAAAAGAAAAGGACGGATATAATTTCCGATAATGAGGGTGCGGTGAGTTCATGCCTTTTTTTTAAGGTTTTGTATTAGGAGTACAGAAGACTTCAACATTAAGTTATCTAAACCTTCAAACGGTGGAGAATGCAGATCAACATTTGGTGGAGAGAGAGACAGACAGACACACACACACAGGTTCAGAGAGAGAGAGAGAGAGACAGGTACAGAGAGAGAGACACACACAGGTACAGAGAGAGAGAGACAGGTACAGAGGGAGAGACAGGTACACAGTGAGACAGACAAATAAACAGAGAGAAAAACAGAGCGGGAGAAAGGCAAAGATGGAGAGACAGACAGACAAAGGCAGAAAGAGAGAGAGAGACAGACAAAGAGAGAAATGGAAAGGCACACAGAGAGACAGAGAGAGAGAGACAAGGACACAGAGAAAGAGAGACAAAGGCAGAGAGATAGAGAGAGAGAGACAAGGACAGAGAGAAAGAGAGAGAAAGGACAGAGAGAGAAAGCAGGTCAACATTTGGAGATTGAAAGATGTCTTCTTTTTTTTTAATATACGGCTGTCACAAATATTTTTTAAAAAACTTCCTAATGCCAGAGGCAAAAATCTGTATAATGTAAGTAATCGTGCCAACCAGTAAAATAATTCTTATGAATTTAAACCTCATTTGATACGATGGCCTAAATTCTATCTACCAAAAAAATACAAAGCATGGTACCTTACCATTGATTCCAATATTCTGGTAGTCTCTGTGGTTGCAATGGTTCCTTTCCCAAAGACGAAAATATATTGAATCCGTTTTTACTTTTATTGTCTTCCAAATGCTATTCATGAAACCTAAAAAAAAAAAAGAAGAAAATGTTTATTTTTATTTTAATCAGTCAAGGCAATAAAGCTACTAAGACACAAGGGTTAATGAGCGCGAAAGAATAAAAAAAAAAAGAAAAATATTATTAAGGATCGAGAAAAATAAAAGAAGAGGAATCAAGACGACAGTAGATAACGATTGGCATTGCATTTAAACTTTGGAAGATTAAAGTTGGCTTGAAAGCATAGAGCCGGAAGAGACTTCCACAAGCGAGAAGTACGAGAAAAGAAACTGTTAGCATAGAACTTACGGTTGCATCTAGCCAAATAGACTGTAAATTGATGAGACCTTGCTGACAATCTAGTAGTGCGCTTAAATTCATAAGGTCTCATTACAATAGGGGAAAGTTTATGAGAACAATTACAAAGAAATTATTTATAGCAAAGGCACAAGGCAGCTACATTATGGCGGTGGTAAAGTGACTAAACCGAGATCCCAGGTCAGGGTGAATGACTTTGCACATTCTTCTTTGGATTTTATCAAGAATCTCTAAATATATAGCAAGAGCAACAGACCAGATGAGGCAGAAATATTCAAAGCATGGATGAATGGTAGACTTATAAATATGTAAGATAGATTCTACTTTGGATTTTATCACGAATCTCTAAATAGTGCTCAATATGAATTTACAGAGCATTAATATTATTAAAAATTAACTGATTTAAAATATGGTTTTTCGCTTTATTTATACATTTATATATATATTTATTTTCGTTTTATTTTTACATATATATATATATATATATATATATATATATATATATATATATATATATTTAAATGTATCTCTATCTATAAAAAGGATGTGTGTGTGTGTGTGTGTGTAACGAATGGATTTTTCCCAATTTTAGACGCATTTGCACTAATATTTACATGCAAAATGCTTTCAAACAGAAGGGGAAGGCCAAGATCGAGAAAAAATTTCCCAACTCCCCATCGATAGTGGAAATAATCGATTTTTCATGCTTCTACGACAGTTTTCATGTAGTTTGCGGCCATTTTGTACTGGCCAGATTGAGAGCCTATGCTGGCTGCCACGAATAGGCAGGAAGATTCTATTAGCCAGCGTCAAGAGCCAACAGCTGACTGACACGAATGTTAACTAGCATGCTAGCATGCAAAAAAAAAAAAAAACGATAGCTGCATTCGTCACAAGCGGAAAAAATTTAAATCTGCATGGCACTTTACTCCAATTGGCTCATTCGCTTACTTAAACTTAACGTTTATTCTGATTCCGCAGAACTGGGTTGGATATAAAAAATTATTTGTTGTTAACATTCTTTTTTCATTCGGTTTTTCCAGTTACGAGTCCTTTTTTAAAGCCTTGATCGTTTTGTGTTCATTTTGTTTAGTTTTTTTTTCGTAACAGATTTAATGTTTAGTATAGAGCTTAGAAAAAATTCACAGTATGAGATAGGCAAGAAGTAAGGCATGTAGCAACATCAGCACGGCAAAGTCAAGTGATAGCGATTGCTCCGAAAGTCGTAACGATTTTTGAATCAAGCACGGGCAACGTCGGGCCATAAAAGATATAGTATATATATATAAATATATATATTTATAAATATAAATATTAAAATAAATATATATCTATATATATAAATATATATAAAAAATGTATAGTAATTGTTTTAATATTATGTATATATATATATATATATATATATATATATATATATATATATAACATATAAAATTATTTAAATTACAAATCAAAAAACGTGCAATCAATTTTACATATCAAAATAAATATTATATTAAAATCAAAATGATTTAAAAAAAACGAAAGGTTAATGATTTAAATGTTTAAAAGACATCCATCTAAATTTTTGCAAACGATATCAAACTTTTAAAATATATTCACGAAGGCACAACTATTAAAGGAAAAAAAATGTTATCTAAATCAGTTATGCATGAAAATATATTTGGAATCCTAATCAAGTCCCTTAGTATTTTTTTTTATTTTTAAAAATATAAATGAAAACAAAATAGAGCATAAATATAATTATTAGTTGTTTTTTTTTTATCAATGAAACTAAAAGAAAAAAAAAATAAGCTTGCTGTTCGTCTTTAAATTAAATTTAAATTAAATTTAAAGATTATGAAAATTTATTTGTTTTGAAACATACATCTTTTCACAAAAAAATTTATAAAATATATTATATATATATATATAATAAATGTTAAATTTTTGAAATTTACGAAAAAATATCATTCAGTTGAATATAAAATATCTAGGATTTCTAAATTTCACAAAAATAATAGTTTTGTTTATTATTATTAGTTACTTTGTTTAAATATATTTATAAATAGAAATGAAAATTGAAAAGAACATTATTAAAAATGAGTTATTGATAATTTTTGCATATACAACGCGACAAAGAAAACAACGCTCAAGTTTGATTTTGAATTTTTTTTTTTTTGAAAATCGAGTTCCCTTTAAAACAAAAAAACATCACGAACATTAAATACCAAATATACAATGTAAAATAACAAACAAATGTTTTAATGGTTTTATTTTCTCCCCAGGTATGGATACAAATAGCAGGACAGTCATTTAATAGTTATAATTGAAAAAAGCATTTGCATACAAGCAGATATATCTAACATATTTAATATAAAAAACTGGTTTCATAAACCATATAAAAAAAATGCAATTTCACATTAAAAAGATATTTTTCAACAAAGAATGGTGACTGAATCAGGGTTTAAAATAAAAGAGACATAAAAAATTTTTTTTATTCATGTTCATTCAGACATTTTCTTAAATTGATAATAATAGCAAAAATTTTGTATCTAAAGATATATGATTTTTCAAGAAAACTCAATATAGAAGCGTGTTATCACTTCATGGTACATAACTACGGATATTATATAAAAGATAATATATTATAGATATTTAATAATATAGTTGAATCCCATTAAATATTTAATGATGAATCCTCTTTTTTATTTATTAACAAACAAAATTAATTTAATTATTTATAATAATTTTGGAGGCACTTGGATTAATGGATATTTATATAAAATTGGAGGAAAATATATCAAATCCATTGCAAAATGTAAAATCATAGAAAAATTTTCTTTCCCCATCAGATGGATGGACAAAAAAGTAAATTTTTATAACTTGTTTTTATCGAAAATATTCCAACCAAATTTTGGAACTGAAAAAGTAATTTTTAAAAATTTGATCATTAAAATTTGCCATCGTCATTTATAAAAATTAATGTAAAATAGATGTTGTATATTTAATTTTTTTTGCTTAAAATTTTGGTTGCAGAAAATTTATTCTTACAACTTGGGAAAATTTTTTATAAAAACAAAAATTTCCTAAACTTAAAAAGCGATTTCCATTCCCTTCACGAACACGTCCAAAAATTTTCCGTCTAACGATTCACATTTTTGGATGAAAAAATTGAGGGACAACATTCAACTTTAGCAGTCCTGATATTTTTTTCTATATTTTTAGTTTTCTATTTCATTTTGGAGAGATCTCGAACCCTTGTAAGTGATGGATATAACTTTTGTTGAGAGCGAGAAAAGGAAAGAAGTTGTGTTTGGATGGATATATATATATATATTAAGGACAAAACAGTGAACAATAAGATTTACTGGAAATGTGAAATGTGCAAAAAAAAAAAAAAGAAGAAATGCTTAGCATGTGTTTTATTTTCTTTTTTAACCACAGGTTTCAAGCAAACTGCCTTTTGAGAAATAAAAATAAGACCTGCTATATAAATGTACCCATTCTTTAATTTTAACTGTTCAGTTAACAACAATAAAGTTGTATTATTTTATCTTATAGTAAACTAGCAGTAGAGCCCGGCGTTGCCCGGGGATGTAACAGTAAGAGAAAGATCAAGTATCGACCATCATAAAGACTGACAAATGAAATTGACAAAGATTATTGTTTAAGGTTGACGGACACGCATGTCTTAATTAGTTTTTTTTTTTATTTTGTTTTTTTTTACGAATTGGTCAAACCCAAACTCAAAAACAAATCGTTATGATATCGATTGAATAGAATTTTATTATAAACAATTGTCTTGTAAATGGAATTTTTAAAGCATTCTGAATGTAAAATAAAGAAAAAAGTGTGCAAGACAATAAAAACACTACCTGCAAAAAAAAAAAGTGAAGTTTTGTTGAAATCGGTTGAAAATGTAGGAAATCCGATCCCATATATAAACGAACACACACACACACAAACAACCAACCTGGGTTTTATAATAAGTATAACTCGATATGAGTTGTCCCCTTTCATTAATGCCTCTTAATCGTGTTTTCAAATTGATTTTGTGCAAAAACAATTTGTTTTTTTCAATTTTTGGCGCTGTCAGAACCACCGCAAGGTAATTTTACGTAGTCCTGTGAAGTTTTGTTGAAATCGGTTGAAAAATGTAGGAAATCCGATCCAATATATAAACGTACAGACACACACAGAACCTGGGTTTTATAATAAGTATGATATTAGAATCAATGTAGTTTTTTTTTACCACAGGTTTCGAGCAATTGATAGTTCGAGAAATTATTTATCGAGCAATTTACTATCGAGCAGTTGATTTTAATGATATAAAACTTACCTGTCATCCCTGATAACTGTGGCCAATCAAATTCATCTTCAAACGAGAGAACCACATCTTTTAATGCATCCTAAAAATAAAATACACACAAGAATGAATTAACACAGATTTCTCATTTAATATAGGCGTTGAGATAACTACAATGAAAATATAGAATACTACCGGGCTTTGTAAAATATATTCACTATTTGGGGTACCCCGAGGCTGTGTAATGGTTAAGCAAGCTTGTCCCGCTAGAACAATTACGACTGAGTAGTGAGTTCAATCGTCACATTTTAAAATTTCGGCCTGGCAAAACATCTAAGCTACTATATTTACTATTTGAAATCTTTGAAGGCGGTGTAATGGTTACAAGTTTGTCTTTGCTCGATATTTTATTCTTAAGTAGTGATTTGAACAATTTGGGTGCCCCCAAATTTGGTTTGTGCATTATCTAGGCTATGCTTGGAAAATTCACTATTATCTAATTCTGAAAAAAACTCAGTTTGATTCATAAAAAAAGTTAAAAAAATAAATATTCGGACATCCCTGCGCTGGTTTAAATCACGGCTTTTTATTTGGACCGGCTCTGGCATATTTTTTTTGACAAGAAAGACCATTTTAGACCTTTAAACTGAATTGAAACTTTTAGGTCCCCATGTTAAAAAACTGATTCTTGTGTCACAAAGTGACACAGGGGTAGAAATCATTAATTCTTTGAATTTGCGAAACTCCGTCAAAGGATGGCAAGAGATTCCCAAAAACACTTTTGGGGATGTTTGACAGAGGTGGCGCCCTTGCATTGCACCAGAGGGAGGGATTAGTGCTCGCTCTGAGGCCTGGGGGCAATGAGACTTATGTAAATTACTTTAAAATAGAGCTGGGGATTAATAATCTTAGAATTTGTGGGAGAACTGTGCTTTAATTTCGCATGTATTCATATAGATTCCATAATATAGGTTTTACTTAAGTAGCTATTATGTTGTCTTGAAATGTTGAATGTATGACTAATACTAATTTCTATTTTCTCATCTTTACACTATATTAATTCTTCTCTTACAAATTTCCCCCTGTTCTGTCACCCATGAAATAAAAAATAATTGTTTGTACGGAAAGTAAGGACCTACGTACATCAAATCGTTTTTAAATTAAGTGGCAGCAGAAGAATTATCATTGAACTTTTAAAAGGTAAGCTTAAGAATTAATGCTTAAATGCAGCGATCAATTTTGAGTTCTTCTGTAGTCTATTGATGCCTATCGCATCTACTCCTGCCTAGCTATTATGATGATGTTTTAAACCAAGAGCCCCTTTTATGGCATTTAAGCTAGTTTTTGAAATTTTAGCTAGCTTATAAAATTTAAGTTAGCTGCAATTTTGGATACAAAAGAAAAATAAGAGTTACTCATTTTTGAACCATGAAAGCAACGATAACTTTTAGTTTATTATATATATATATATATATATATATAGGGTTTTCCCCCACACACACATTTTTTCTAAATCTATCTCCTCCAATCATTCTCTTCTTTTTGTCTCCCTATTTTTCCATTCTCATCTCTCTCACCTTCACTCTTTTATAAACCTCTCCTTTCCCTCCTTTTGTCATTCTTTTTCTCAGTAATCTCCCGATGCTCCATAAGAAAAATCTAAAACAAAACCCCTCTCTCTCTCTCTCCTTTTGCATTCTCTTCTCTTTGTCTCGCTGTGCTTCATTCTCATTTCTTTTATTTCACCTTCTCTCTTTCTCACACTCTCACTCTCTTTCTCCATCTCTCTCCTTCTCTCCTTCTTTTCTCTTTGTCTCCCTACGCTCCATCTCTTTTCTTTCACTCTCGCTCTATTTCTTTAGCCTATCTCTCTCTTTCACTTTATCTCTCTTTCAGCATCTCCCGACATTCTCTTCTCCATGCTCATCACTCTCTTTCACTGTCTCTTTCACTCTTTCTCTCTTTCTCCCTCCCTCTCTCTCTTTTCTTTGTTTCGCTGTGCTCTTTTTCTCATTTTTTTTTCATTCTTTTCTTTCCCTCTTTTTCTCGAAAAATCTCTCTCTCTCGATCTCTCTCCCTCTCTCTTACTCATTTTTTGATTTTTATAAAATATCCTCCTCTCTCCGTCATTCTCTCTCTTTTGTCTCTATGCTCCATTTGAATTTCTTTTTTAACCCCCCTCTTTTAAACCACTCTCTCTCTCTCTCTTCCTCTCTCTCTCTCTCTCTCTACCTCTTACCTTTGACAGCTTCTTGGCATCAAA